TGACAGCTCTCTCGGGCTGGTGAGAGGATCTATGAATGAAGTACACTTTCAGTTACACACTCTCTTGAGTCTCCTTGAGGCTCCTTGCATTTCCCCTAGAGCATTTAAGGTTGACCATTTTGCCTCAAGAGACCTGCAAATTTTAAAACAGTGGCTAAGAACAAACAGGGAAAAATATCTATACACAAAATTCAAGAATGAAATGAGTTAAAATGCTAACAGGAACTGTTTGGCATTCTTTTCAGCAACTTTGTTTTCATACTTTCTATATTTAATAAGCATGGAAAAAAGTGAATTTTAATTTTTAAGATTAGTGTGATCCATATACCATGCAGTCAAATAAGATGTCAGTTGGCACAATATAAAGAGTTTAGGAAAATAGAAATCATTTGACCTTGTTGCTTAAATATGCATCTTCTAGTATCATCGATTTGGTGTCCTAGAATTACATTTGCTTTCTCTGTTTCCGATCACGGTAATTATTCAGTGAGTAATATTTTTATAACAAATATTGCAAATACTATGAAAAATATCATAGCTGACAGAAATTAGAAGGGAGAGAAAAATATACATTTTCTCATTTGATCTTCTGGGAACCCATTACATACTGTCTCATAGTACTAGATAGGGAAAGAAATTTAAATTATTTAATATGGTATAGATAACTCTTAGAAACACTAAATGATAATAACTAAGAAAAGTTGAGATGCTTGGGTAAGCAGCAATATAAGGCAGGTTATTTTGCTAAATTCCTCATTAGAGTGTTTAAAATGAATAAATCAAGAAATAGAGGCAAAAGCATATTAGAATTATGTTGTTTTGATGGGAAATAATAGAAGCCTTAAAATAGAAACACTTAAAAGCAAAAAAGCCTTCTCTAGAATGTTTGAGCTGAGCTTGGGCAGGGATAGTTGAGTACTTTTATTCCATTGTAATTTATTTTACCATGTGTTCCTACTTTACTTATAATTATGAAATCACTTTCAAATTCAGTATGCAGATGGTCTGGATATTAGGGAATTCTTAGGCATGTTGTTAGGTCATGTGATTGTTTTGTCAATCAGATACTTTCTAAAACCTCTGGCTGAGCTGTAAGATGCTGAGCAAATTATGAGAGTGTCTGCCAGTCGAACAAATTAAGGAGAATGTCCCCAAAACTTAGCAGCACGTGTAGCAGCAATGTGTACACACATCATTACGGGCACAGAGAGGCATTGTAGGCATCGAGAGAGAAAAAAGAGAGCAAATTTCCGCTGCTTTGAAGCTTTGCCAAATCTACTGGTCTCTGAGGGGAACTATATTTGTTACATATAGAGTTTGGGAGTTATTAGCACTTTGCCTTGATCACAACAGCCTGTTTCCAGCTCCGTTTATCTTTCTTCCAGCCTGCAGGGATCCCGGTGCTCTGTCTCCTGTGAAGATGGACAATTCTTCAACGGCCAGGACTGCCAGCCCTGCCATCGCTTCTGCGCCACTTGTGCTGGTACTGCCCCTCCAGATCTTTCGTTTATTCTCCTGGTTCTGGTTTTGCTCTTGCTCATCTGGTTTTAGCCATCGCTTATGCCACCCACTTGATATTTTTAAAGTAAATGCTGGAGAAGCATATTTCTCTTTTGATGATTGTGCATGTATTCTCATCTGAAGTCAAGCAGTCATCAGCATCCTGCCCTCATCGAGAAACTTAAATATCTCAGGGATATCTCCTTCTCTTTCCAAAGAGAGCAGACGTTTTTGGCAAATAGCTTCAATTTAAAATGAGAGGAGTTTTTTTTTTCCAAGGAAAGTAAGAAAAAGCACAAATATTACATTATTACTCTTAAAATTGTAACAGATTAATGCCACTTTCACAAACTGTTAAAGAAGCAGCCAGTTATGCAGCCTCTACTGAGGTTTCATTTCTGTTTCCTGCATTTGTCTTGCTTTTAAGGGGCAGGAGCTGATGGCTGCATTAACTGCACAGAGGGTTACTTCATGGAAGATGGCAGGTGCGTGCAGAGCTGTAGCCTCAGCTATTACTTCGACCACTCTTCAGAGAACGGATACAAATCCTGCAAAAAGTAAGTGGATCTGCCCCCTCAGCCCTCGCATCTCGTACCCGGGTTCCTTATATGACTGCCTTCATAAATAATAAGAAAACTTAGAATTTTTTATGATAAAATCAGATTCAAACATTTACCTATGGACGTTGCCCTGTAGCTTTAATCCAAGTTTATCTTTGATATTTTTATTTATTTATTTTTTCTTTTTGCACTTCGGGAACCTAGCAATTATGGTAAGAAAATATTTTTGTGTCATCTTCAAAAGGAGAATTAAGTTTAAGACATTGAGAGGTTGATAGTAAACATACCTTCTTGTGTGCATGGTATATAAAAAATTTTACATTTTTCCCACAGATGTGATACCAGTTGCTTGACATGCAATGGCCCAGGGTTCAAGAACTGTACAAGCTGCCCCAGTGGGTATCTCTTAGACTTAGGAATGTGTCAAATGGGAGCCATCTGCAAGGACGGTGAGTACAACTGCACGCTTTGATCTTCCAAGCAAAGTGTGGTCTTCCTACTCACGGTCTTGTATTTTTCCACTTAAGACAGACACTAACAAGCATGCATCAGATAGGACATGCTGATTATCTTGCTGGCATCTCTTCTTGAACTTATGCCCTTAATGAGTTTTGCTTTTTTGACTTTTTTTTAATAGTCCCACTGCCAAAGATGGCTCCAGTTAATTTTTTTAATTAATGAACTTTATTTTTAGAGCAATTTTTAGATTCATAGAAAAATTGAGCAGAAAGTACAGAAATTTCCCATATAGACCTACTTCCACACATGCACAGCCTCCCCCACTATGAACATCCCACATCAGAGTGATACATTTGTTACAATTTATGAACCTACATTGACACATCTTATCATCCAGAGTCCATAGTTTACGTTGGGGTTCACTCCTGGTATTGCACATTCAGTGAGTCTGGATAAATGTGTAATGACACGTATCCACCCACCACTGTAGTATCACACAGAATAGTTTACTGCCCTAATAATCCTCTGTGCTTTGCCCACTCATGCCTCCCTACCCCTAACCCCTGGAAACCACTGATTTTACTGTTTCCATAGATTTGCCTTTTCCAGAATGTTATACAGTTGGGGTCATACAATACAAAGCCTTTTCTAGTTAATGTTGATGTGTTTCTTCCTAGTCTTTTGCCATATGTACTTGTTACCAGATTTTTAAAATACCATGGACATAGAGTTTTGTATCTTACCTTTTGTGCTAAGCTTTTGGCATAAACATTATTCAATGTTTTTACAAAGTCTTAGGAAAACCTCAGCAGCACAAAACCAGGTGAAGATGTTATAGTTTTTTTGCCACTTTCCTATTATTTGTATTTATAATTTTGATATGTAAATAGTAATCAGATGGTATCTGAATCTTTCATTATGCCTATGAGGCTAGGAATTAATATTCCAATATTATAGAAGAGAAAACCCGTGATGTGAAGCTAGAAGTGACAGACCCAAGTATAGAACTTAAGACTTGTAAATGACGGTCCATTTTTCTCTTTTTTGCACCAGTGGTTCTCAACCCAGATGCCAGGAGTCCACACCTTCCCCAAAGATTCTCATTGAATTTGTCTGGGGTGTAGCCTGAGCATGGATATTTTTAGAAGCTTCTCGAGTGTTTCTAATGTGCAACAAGTATGAGAACCACTACACTGCCACATTCCCCCTGAGAGTATGGCCAACTCCCCTCACTTCTCTAGCCTCAGTTTCCCCATCCATAAAATGAATGAATTTAAATTATTCCAACCCCAACATTTTGTGAACTTTTGACTCTCGATATAGTTCATGCTGAGAGCCATGAAATTTGTGCCTAATTTTATGCAAAAAATATCTCAATGATGTAGAAAGAAGTTCTACAACAGTTCAAAACATCTTTGATGGTTATAAAAACAGAAAGTATGCAGCATTTCATACAGTCTTACCTGACAAGGTCATTGCCCTAGGTTTATTTTTTTCCCTTGTTTGAATGTTTCCTCTTCTGGAAATTTCACAAGAGACAGCACAGTACTGTGATTAGGAGAATACAGACTTGGGCTCCAGACCTTGGGCAGGTTATGAACTTCTCTGGGCCTCATTTCNAACTGCACGCTTTGATCTTCCAAGCAAAGTGTGGTCTTCCTACTCACGCTCTTGTATTTTTCCACTTAAGACAGACACTAACAAGCATGCATCAGATAGGACATGCTGATTATCTTGCTGGCATCTCTTCTTGAACTTATGCCCTTAATGAGTTTTGCTTTTTTGACTTTTTTTTAATAGTCCCACTGCCAAAGATGGCTCCAGTTAATTTTTTTAATTAATGAACTTTATTTTTAGAGCAATTTTTAGATTCATAGAAAAATTGAGCAGAAAGTACAGAAATTTCCCATATAGACCTACTTCCACACATACACAGCCTCCCCCACTATGAACATCCCACATCAGAGTGATACATTTGTTACAATTTATGAACCTACATTGACACATCTTATCACCCAGAGTCCATAGTTTACGTTGGGGTTCACTCCTGGTATTGCACACTCAGTGAGTCTGGATAAATGTGTAATGACACGTATCCACCCACCATTGTAGTATCACACAGAATAGTTTACTGCCCTAATAATCCTCTGTGCTTTGCCCACTCATGCCTCCCTACTCCTAACCCCTGGAAACCACTGATTTTACTGTTTCCATAGATTTGCCTTTTCCAGAATGTTATACAGTTGGGGTCATACAATACAAAGCCTTTTCTAGTTAATGTTGATGTGTTTCTTCCTAGTCTTTTGCCATATGTACTTGTTACCAGATTTTTAAAATACCATGGACATAGAGTTTTGTATCTTACCTTTTGTGCTAAGCTTTTGGCATAAACATTATTCAATGTTTTTACAAAGTCTTAGGAAAACCTCAGCAGCACAAAACCAGGTGAAGATGTTATAGTTTTTTTGCCACTTTCCTATTATTTGTATTTATAATTTTGATATGTAAATAGTAATCAGATGGTATCTGAATCTTTCATTATGCCTATGAGGCTAGGAATTAATATTCCAATATTATAGAAGAGAAAACCCGTGATGTGAAGCTAGAAGTGACAGACCCAAGTATAGAACTTAAGACTTGTAAATGACGGTCCATTTTTCTCTTTTTTGCACCAGTGGTTCTCAACCCAGATGCCAGGAGTCCACACCTTCCCCAAAGATTCTCATTGAATTTGTCTGGGGTGTAGCCTGAGCATGGATATTTTTAGAAGCTTCTCGAGTGTTTCTAATGTGCAACAAGTATGAGAACCACTACACTGCCACATTCCCCCTGAGAGTATGGCCAACTCCCCTCACTTCTCTAGCCTCAGTTTCCCCATCCATAAAATGAATGAATTTAAATTATTCCAACCCCAACATTTTGTGAACTTTTGACTCTCGATATAGTTCATGCTGAGAGCCATGAAATTTGTGCCTAATTTTATGCAAAAAATATCTCAATGATGTAGAAAGAAGTTCTACAACAGTTCAAAACATCTTTGATGGTTATAAAAACAGAAAGTATGCAGCATTTCATACAGTCTTACCTGACAAGGTCATTGCCCTAGGTTTATTTTTTTCCCTTGTTTTGAATGTTTCCTCTTCTGGAAATTTCACAAGAGACAGCACAGTACTGTGATTGAGCATTTCATACAGTCTTACCTGACAAGGTCATTGCCCTAGGTTTATTTTTTTCCCTTGTTTGAATGTTTCCTCTTCTGGAAATTTCACAAGAGACAGCACAGTACTGTGATTGGGAGAATACAGACTTGGGCTCCAGACCTTGGGCAGGTTATGAACTTCTCTGGGCCTCATTTCCCTCATATGTAAAAAAACGAAGAAGATAATACTGCTGACTTCGTATGGTTATTCCATGACTCTTTATTAGGAATCTCAGAAAGCATCAAATAGAACTGGGCACATGATGGCACTGGTAGAACGTCATTTCCCTGGAGCATCATAGGTAACTTTGCATCTTCGTAGCTTTTCTGATGTATGACTGGTTTGGCAGGGACAGGCCAGACCCCTCAGGCTCTGTGATCCGAACATCTCTTGGCCAGGCCAAGGCTGATTCTGGTTACATAACACAGGGCTGAGAGGCCTGGGCGATGGCACCCCAGGGACCATGTAAGTATCACTTTTTAGTTACAAGCAAGTGCCTCCTTACCTTTATTTAAAAACAGGGTTCCTCTGTATCTGAATATGATCAAAATTTGTTGTAAGTTAGTAACCAGAAAACTAAGGAAGAATTTTAAGTGACTGATTGAGGAAATCCATTGTAACTTAAAATCTTCACCTACAGCACTTGGCACCAAGCATTTCAAGATTTTTGATGCTTTAACTACTTTTCCTAAACCACAGGGAGCATGGGATAAGTTCTGCCAAATCCACTTTGGTAAAAATGGAGTGTTAGGATTATGGGCACAATGGAAAATGAGGAACCATAATTTGCAATTAGTCCATTTTCAGGTCAGTTAAAGAATGAGATCATTGAAGGCTCACCAGGCTTTTCAAATCACATGGCGACTGCATTTAAGAATGTGCTATTTATTCTCTATCAACTGTCATATTTCCATGATTCTAAGACATACTTTTTTACATTTTAACATCTCTTGAAATCAGATGCATCTTATCGCTCATGGCAGCTTACAGCTGCTTTTGACCAGCAGGTTGATGTGACAGAGGTGTCATTGCCTGGATATGAGACTGTGAAGCACAGAGATGACTGTTCTGCCAAGTTAGGCGCATGGTTCCTACTTCTTGTGTTGAATTTAATTGCAGTTCAAAAGAGCTTCAAAAAATTAAACTATTATTCAGTATTCAAAGGACGGGTTACTGCATAAGCACAGAGACAAAATTGAAGGTTATATCAGTGTAACAAATACTTTTAATAAGTATAAAATTAAAATTCTAATTGATATGAGAATATTGTGACCTGGTTTAATAAGAAGCATTTTTTTCTTTATATTACTTAAAATAATGATGCATCTTCAATCCTATGTCTTGGATTCAATGAAATATGTTATAAATGACTGTGTACTCTCTGCTCAAGGGAATTCTAAAAAAAATTCCTTATGTTTTTATTGATTTCTAACTTATTCTTTTTCTAATCTTTTTTTCTTCTTTCACAAATGGATACCAATCACATTTCCTGTTGGACCACGATATCTCTCCTTGAAAAACAATGCTGTTGACTGAAATCACTTTGGGTGGACCAAATTTCCTCCTTGTTGACTGCTCCTGAATGATCTCTTCCAACCCCCAATCTGCCTCTCTGGCCAATCAAAACTTCTTCCGTGCGTGCACATCATGCCGCTCTGGTCCTCAACTTCCCCTCTCTCTTGACTTCCCGGAAAAGCAACGGAAGAGTCCTGGGCCGAAGGAGGTTTCTGTATGCTTGTGAAAAAGAACAATCTATGCCAGCGGAAGGTTCTTCAACAGCTTTGCTGCAAAACATGTACATTCCAAGGCTGAGCAGCCATCTTAGATTTCTTTGTTCTTGTAGACTTATAGATTATTCCATATTATTAAAAAGAAAAAAAAAGCCAAAAAAAAAAAAAAAAAAAGCAAGCCACCTCTCTTTTTTGCTCTCTTTCTCTCTCTCTCTCTCAAGTTTGTGCAGGGAGATGGTGAACTGTTTTGTCAGAACTTAAATGGAAAAAAAAATAATAATGCTACAACAAGCCTACCTTTTATAACTGGGTGTTTAGTGCTAAACAGCCAGAACCACAGAGACAGTATTGTACGACCAAAGCATCTGATGCCAAAATTTGACGTTAAAGTAATGATTTGATTTCCTGCCCTGATTTTGAAGGTCTTTTTTTTTTCCCCCTCTTGCATTCACTTGGTCGTTTCCCCTTTGAGATGCCTAAAAATACCTTTCCAAAACATCACAAGAGCATTCATAGATCAAAACGAAACAAAGCTCTTGAATCAGTCATTTTTCATGTTTGACTCCACTGTCGGGGGAAATGACAGAAAACTGGACCTGAGGGCATTAAGAACATCCTAGAGAGTTGTGTTCAGTGTCGTTTGTCCTAGTATTTCCCAGGTAAACATGGATACTTCTCCACACATAATTTACTCCATGCATTATGTACTGGTTTTTGCCTTTTACTCACACTTGATAAGTCTGCTCCACTGGTGTCATCAGATAGACGTGCTGCTACTGGCTTTTCCATTGTAGATTGGGTTACTTTACACACAGCTAGCTGGTCACATGGGATTGCTCTGTATAGTCAAATTGGTGATGGACAATGCGGAGGTACATAAAAGAGCTGAGACTGACCCAGCTCCCCTGAAACCTAGAGTGTTAACTTTGTAGACCCTGCACAATCTCTTGGTGCTAACCATTATCCCCATAGAATTTTTTTAAAGGCCATCAGAAATTCCATTTGTCATAGTGGGAAGCATTTTGGATCTGTTGTAGGTAATTTCTTCCTGGAGTCAAACGTTTCTAAGAGGTCCTGTATTTTTTAAGAAATGGAATTTATTTAAATAATATTTAAGCTCGTGTCCATGTTGGCCGGGCAGTGTTTTTCAATGGTGCTTATTAGAAGTTTTTTCGTCTTGTCATTTTAAGAAAATAAAACTGGAAATTGAATATGGGTGGCATGATTGTACCCTCCTGGTTCTGTTGTTTTCCTGCTCCTCTGTCCCTCTATAACTATGTCATGCAGTCACACGCCTGTCCACTGAATGTTATTGAGATCATCTGTTTTTTGGAGGTTTTTTTTTTTTTTTCCAGAAATATTTTCACTAGTTTTCTATGACTCCCTAAACATTTTATGGAAACTAGCAGACTGAATTATGAGAAGACCGTTTTGGATCAGTGTCCAGAATTGAGGAAACCTGACAGATCTTTTTTACAGTTTCTCTGTTTAGGGGAGGGTAGACTGATAGCAAGTTTCTTCATTTTTCATATCGAAGCTCCATTGGTGACCTCATTTGCTTTGGGGGTGGCCAGCCGTCTTGCAGACTTAATGCTTCTGAGACCCTCATTTCCAAGATAGTGCTGGCTGCACGGCTGAGGAGAGGGATGTTCTCAATATATTATCCTGGGAAGGAACTGGGGAGTGGATGCTGAGGTCCCCATCTCTGCAGCAAGCTAGTAGAAAGCCTGCCTTGAAAATATTCCTAGACATCAAAGTTAACTTCCAGTCCAAGGTGAATAATAAGTCAACAATCACTAACCACTCTCTTCATGGCGTAGTAATGATACTGAGTCACATACTGATTCCTAAGTAACCAGGGAATGTTCCTCTTTATAACACTGTTGTAGGCCCTTCTGACACAAAGAAATAAAGTTAATCTTGGGTTCAGCATATAGTTTCACATTTAAAGGCACAATCTTTAAATGGACAAATGTAAGCACAAGCCTAAAGCAAGGTCAAACAGATGGCAAAACCAGATTTGCCTGCAAAGGAATCCATTGAACTGAACCAGCCTGTAATATCTGAGGCACTAAGGTTACCATGATGGGAAAGATACAAATGACCTTTGTGTTTAGAGACAAATAACCATAACATGAAAGCCAAACCCACCGGGGTTCACCAGAGTGTGTTCCATTTCCCACTGACCATGCAGGTGCACATCGAGGAAATACTGGTGTAACTACTAGTGTGTTACTGCCTCAGTTATCTACATAACATTATTAACTAGAACATAATGCTTTCAAAGTTTAAGTTAATGTTATATATTATGTATAAATATATATATTCATAATGAGATATATGTAACGGATAGTAAAAAGTTTGGAGACTTAACAAATGCTCTACCCTTCTAGAGACAAAAGTCCTATCTTCTGTCTTCTTTTGTCTTTTTATTTTTAATTAGTGACCCATTGTTAAATCCAGATCCACTTTTACTGAAAAATACTGTACATGTGTAAAATGTTCAGTTGTTTTTTTGTAAAATATAGTAGAATGGTTGTAATTGATACTGGCCAAAATCAATGTTATTCCATATTTTATTTTTTCTATTAAATTAACCTAAGTTCCTGTTGATTTGATCTGTTCATACCCATGTATAAACATCTCTGAAAGGGTGAGGTAATAGAAACTTCTCTGTTTGCATATAGAAGCTGAATACAAAGAGAGGGCTGAGAATGAATGAAGCGTCTGTATAAAGTTAGAAAAGAAAGGGTGAGCAGATGTGGGCATTGAAATGAAGAAGAAAAGAAACAGAGCAATATACGAAAGGAATGGGTTAGGTTTGACCATGAATGTATGTTAAATTCCATTTTTAGTGTAGTTTCTATTGGATTGTACAGATATTGGACCCCAGTGCATGGGCCATCTGGGCCAGCTCTTTCCTCTGGCGGAGTGCTCACCTACCTGTGTGTGGAGGGATGGGGACCATGGCCTGGGGGCAGGGACATGGGCGTGTAGAAGCTGTTAAAGGAGAAGATGGCTTCGTTTAGTTTGCTCACATCTTGTGTAACGTTGACGGTGGCCGTATCGCTGGATGCCTAGGTGACTTTGCCTGATGTAAATCTCCATTACATGCCACAGGGTGGGACTGAGCAGTTAGCTGTAAACAGCAGTGGGGTATAGATCTTTTTGAACCCTGCCTGAGATGCAATCGCTAGCCTTGAAAGTTCAGTGCTCTGCCTTTTAGGGAAAAAAAAAATATGAGAAATCAGCCAAAGCAGTCACAAATTGAGTTCCCACTAGGTTTAAAGATCTGGGGATACAAAAAGGTGTAAGAGAGAGCCTCTACTGTCATGAAGTTTTATTATGGGGATAGAGGGAAAATAATTTTATTGACCACTTACTATGTGAGAATATGGAGTATATATACATAGTGATGTAAATACATATTCTCTTAATTTCCAGAAAAATTGTAAAGCAGAGGTACATGTATTATCCTGTTTAAAATAGGAAAACTGAGGCACAAAGACTTGAAAGAAATTGGTTGGGATTACATACCCAGACTCATAATAATAACAGTAATAATAATATTAGTAATAATAAAATTCAGCAGTAAGACAACTAACAGTCAATACTCAAGTAAGTAGGACACTAAGTTGTTAAGTTCAGAACAGGCAGAGATTCCTTCGAGCAGGACTGGTCAGAGCAAGCTTCCTAGAGCAGGTGGAACTGGAATTGGCCCTTGAAGCATGGCTAAACTTTCTCTAAGCAGTGGGGAAGAGGACGGGAGGAACGTGACCAGCAAACTTGCTGCGTAAGAGATTTCAGGGAAGCAAGATGTTTTTAATAATTTTAAGCTAATTAGCTCATTACTAGAAAGGACAGTGATTCAACATTTGATGGATCAGTCAAGAAAAACCTACACATTTACTCCTTGTACAAGATGGATCGTGTGTCCATCCTCCTAAACTCCCACATCCATGGAAGACCTTGCTAATTACAGGTACCCATCCAGGCTGATCTAAGTCTTCTCACTTTCCACCCCAGTATCAGAGGCTTGTCATCACACTATTGATCTCTTATCAGGCTCATAACTTTCCATTCAACAATCTACCCTTCATTTTGAAGAACTTGCAAACTGAGTACTTAGAGGAGGGGGAACTGATCGTTTTAGTTACTTCTGAATTAAGGTTTCTCAGTCCAAGTGGTCAACACTTTAGGCACCTCTGAATACGGAAATACACAGCACCTTGTCCTCACATAGAAAGAGTGTCATGCAGCTAGAATATAAAGTAGACGTGCATTCTTAACCACATCCAAATTATCATTCAGCCTCACACAAAGACAGCCGTGGCAGACCACAGCACGGTGAATAGAAATAGCCTGTTGGAGGCGACTTTAAATGATGGTCTGGCCAATTCAATCCTCCCTCCTCCCATCCTCTAACACAAGATGGCAGAGGGGAACAAAGGCCAGCTCCAGCGTGACCTCACCTGGCCCAGTCTGGGCCCCAGGCCCTAAACTCAATATGCACAGATGACAGAAAGTATAAACCCGCTTCTCTTCTCTGGTCAACAGCTATTTTCAAATGTTATTTTTGTTGCAAACCCATAAAATCTGAAGTTCTCAGCAGAATACTTTAGAGCCTTTGACATATTTAGCAGGGCAGAGCCAAGATGGACATAATTTCACTGTGGCTCACTGGAGCTAGTTGGCACCTAGAAATGGGGCTGTAACCCATATTATATATTATGTCTCCTCTTCAATACAAGAGGTGACAATCTGGCCCAGATTGAGTTCTTCAGCTAGAAGGGTGCAGTTAACAAAGCATTACCAAGTCTCAGCGGGTCAGAGGATGACCTGGGACTGTCAGCCGTTTCTTCTCTCCGCCTCCAGGGGACTTACAAGGATGGTTTCCCTGGATTGTTACTGAAGGATTTTCTCCTAAAATCTCCTCTAAAGGGCCATTGTTTGGGTGCTATTGTTTTTTCAGGGCCAGGTATCAGGCAGCAAAAGCTATTTTGCATCCCACCTCCTAGTAAATTCCAGGAACATTCCCTGAGACCTGAATTGTTAAGATCTTTTGCATTATTTTTACACTTTATAAAGGAATGCATTATCTTAAGAATACAGTGCTTTAAGTTTGACATGGTTTTACTAAAACGGCTTTATTTAATTTGGCCAGTATAAAAATCAGGCCTATAGAGATTAATTTTTTGATACAAGATTCACAGCAAATAAGGGGTGTGGCTGGGACTGAAGCCCATAGCTTGAATCCACACAACACTGCCTCTTTTTAAGAGTGCCAGAGAAAAACATGTCCACATTACATAGGTTGCAAGGCAGGGGGTAAGAGCCTACTTCCAAAAGCAGATAGAAAGCACACCGTGTCCCTGGACTTGGGTTCTTTTCTTTATGAGCTTAAAGTAGTAAACATTACTGAATCCCTGCCATATACCAAACTCTGAGGTTCTTGCCCTCTTCAAACTTATAGTCTAATGGGACAAATAGACACTTTTAAAAATGGTTATAATATGAAGCTCTTAAAAAGGGCTTAAAATATTGTTGACAGCCCATCCAGAGGAGCAAGCTCACTTTGCCAATTAAGTGCCAAGGACCGGTGCCCTTGCACTCCAAGCTTTCTGAGGGCATCTAAAAATAGCATGAAACATTAAAAATAGAGTTGGCTCTAAAATGTACAAAGAAAACTGCAAGGATCAAAATCAAATGGTATCTTAATTAAATATCTATAAAATGCAACATGTCAAACTAGTCAGTTGCAACTCAACTCTTAAGGAATGACATATAATTAAATTTAATGTAGGATGAAGGTGAATTTTAATGTGTTTGAGATGATGTGGGACCTACAGAGGTTGGAGAATCTAGAATCTGAGGATTTTAATATAGCCCTGCAAAGGAGGAAGAAATTCACTCTTCACTCCGAGGAGGGTGGTAGTTAGGGAGGACACTGGGGTGGGGGGGTGGGAGGGTGGTGCAGAAGGACAGCAGTGTGTGGACATCTTCCTGGATTCTGTCCTCTGCTCTGCTCTTTGCCTTCTACATTCTCTCCAGGGAGATCTTATCCAGTCACATGGTTTTAAATGCCATCTAAATGCTGGTGATTCTTAAAAATATATATATGTTTATGTGTGTGTATATATATATATATGTGTGTGTGTGTGTGTGTGTGTGTGTATATATATGTGTGTGTGTATATATATATTTTGGTTTTCCTGATCTCTTCCCTCAAGATTTCCACCTGCAGAATCAGTTAACTACTTGATTTTTCTCTTCCAATATCTAACAGGCATCTCAAAATTAACATATCCAAGTAGACTTCAGACACCCCAACCCCCTAACCATCATTACCACCAAGTCTCTCCCATCTCAGTAAATGACATTACAACCCATCCACGCAATTGTTTAAGATTCCTCTTTTTTCTCCACCAAATCCTATTCATTAGCAAAGTCCCATTAACTGTATTTCCAAAATAGAGCTCTGAATGGTCTACTTCCACCCAATCTTAGCTGTGACTCTGGGCCAAACCACCCTGATCCCTTCCCTGGACAACAGCAGGGACCCCCCCCCCTCCCCAGTGTCCTCCCTAACTACTACCCTCCTCGGAGTGAAGAGTGAATTTCTTCCTCCTTTGC